TTTTTTTTTTACATAAATTATATTTATTGAGAACATATAAGCAAAAGTACAAAATATGTGTATTGAATTTAAATATTAAAAATTAAACACATTTATTTTACTTGATAATTCTTTAAAATTTGGTGAATAATTGGTGACAGCACTTCTCAGTAATTCTTTCAGATGCTGGTTAGTTAATACTGATCGGTTTTTGGATTTCACGAATTTTAAAGTGGAATTAAATGATTCACATAAGTACTTTGTTCCGAATATTGAAATAATTCTACAATCAGCCTTTTTTAATTCAGAATACTTCGATTCTGGTTCAAATTTCCAAAATTCAGTAATCGACCTCGACTTACATTTTAATTGTAGAGCTTGATCTTCTTGCATCTCGATTAATTCTAACTCTCCAGATGCTTTTTGTGTCATAATTAATATTGGAAATGGAAAACTCACCTTGAATTGAACAACGTTGCACTTAGTCTTTCATACTTGTTCTCAGTAATTTAAAAGACATTTTGAAACACATAGGGAGCGATAATAACTTTTTAAAATACAATATCACAAAAATTGAAGGGAAACTCGGGTACATTTATCGAAAGCCACAAATAATCCATCAAAGAGTGGCTCGCGAGACGCAGGTTGGCCACCTCTGATATAGGTAAATATAGGCTCAATATTGGCCAATGTAAGCCCTATATATGCCATTCTAGGACCAATGTAAAAAATCTAAACATTCCAATATTGGTCCCTCTGTGCACGCTCTTATAGGACCTATATTGAGCCAATTTTGAGCTCAACTGGGGCCAAGATAAAATTGTTGCTAGGGTTGGGTTAGCATCAATAGTCTTATTCATAACATATTAACAAAGTTTATTACTATTTTTTAATTAATTATTATTTTTCATATTATTCATATTTATCACAATGTTTTTCTACGAATGCAGATAAATTAATTATTTCAGCTCATACTCAAACAATCCCATTAAAACACGGAGCAGTTGTTTTCAGACATAATACATAGAATTCCTAAATGATTCATTAAGTTCTACAGCAGCCAGTGTCTCCTGCAGAATTCCATTGGCTCTCAATTTGTTTTTCTCTCAGATCTTCAGGCAATGCGGACAACCACAGTAGTGTACGCTTGGCAGTTAGTTCAGCGTATGTCACGGGTACCGGTGCGGATGTGCTTTTGGAATGTCGGAGTGAAGTATAGCATAGATAATATGTCAATTTTTGAAGATCATCAGCTGAGATTTCACTGTCATCCTCCAACACCGTGTAATGCGCAGGTCTGCTGGTTCCTAAAAATCAGTCATCAAAGTTAAGAAGTGTTTTGAAATTCACGTAAAATTTGAATTCAGGTAAATTATGCTGTAAAAAGTTGCCTAGGAAAGGTATCAAACTGTGGGATTTCTTAATTGTTGATAATTAAAGAGAGTAGTGGATGAACCAGGTAAGTGACATTTTCAGAGTTGCTATATTCAGGGCAAGACAGGGCTGGATTACCCATTAGGCCAGACTAGGCCATCTACTACGCCAATAATAAGGGGCCCCTTTAAAAAAATTTTTTTGAAAATAAATTTTAAAAAATACATTTTAATAAATTTTAAAAAATTAAAAAACATAGGCGGAAGAATAACTTTGTCATGTCTTTGCTCGTATTCTGGTCGTTTTTCTCGTAATGCACGGCTTAAACGAATCAATTGTAGCCTATACGATCGCCCGTAATGGAATCAATAGGTTGTAGCAGCACATAGTGTAAAAAAACTATTCACCATTCTTCACTTACCATTCACCATTCTTGAAACGTCGAAACCATTCCCTACATGATTTATCAGTTGGAGCAATGTTACCATAAACTTCTACGAGAATTCGATGCACTTCAGCTGCAATTTCCTTCCAATTAAAGCAGAAACATAAAACCTTCCGCAAATGGTGCTTCGTTACTACAAAACTTGACATATTCAACAAAGTAAAAAACCGGGTTTTTGTATGAAACTCAAAGCGATAGAAAACTGAATATTATTGACAGATGTTTAACCTCTCTGAAACCACCGAAACCAGCTGTCACTATGAAACATTCATAACAGCAGAGCCATCTCTTAAAAACGGACAAATCACTAAATTAGTCACAAATCACTAAAAAGGTCACTAAATTATAAATTAGTGCTGAAAAACAAAAAATTTTCTTTTGTGGTGCAAAATTTATAAGTGCGGTATTTGGTTCAGCAAACTCATTTTGTGATGATTTTAACCACCACTGCTTCTAAATTACTCAAATACTCACCTAAAACGGCCATTATTTATTATAATCTCATGTTGAGCCTCCTAAAATATGGGCTGGTAACCGAATTCTGCAAAGTTTAGTTTTTTGATCTTTACCACTCTTTTAAGTCTTTTGCAGGAAGCGAAGCAGTTGGCATTCCTCTATTTACCACACTCTTATGTATTTTATTTGTTACAACCTAGTTCATTTAAATCATTTAAACACACATATATGGTGGCTTTACGCACACCATTGCTCTGAAATTTAAAAGTAGCAAAAGTGCTTATTTAAATTATTCTTTATTAAGTTGAAATAAGAGATCATAAAAGATAGTTTACCTCTCAATCCTAGATGACTACAAAGATAAAAATCTCTGTGTAATGGGTGCACAATCTCAGTATCCGCAACTGTTCCTGGTGGTACATTTCCTTCTGGTCTGGCTCCATCCCTGAAATCTTCTGGTCTAAACCGGACGTGATGTCTCTTTTGAACTACGACAAACGTAATAGCTGGTTGATAATCACTTTGCAACTCCATACACGCGCGTCGCACGGCATTTACTTCTTCCTCTTTGACTTCTTGGAAGTAACTATCGCTCACTCCATCTCTATAAAAAATTATTTTCTCTGGTTTTTTCCCCATCGTACAATTATAAAAAACCTCTAACAATGCTTTCACCATATCCTTTAACTCAAGAATGATTTCAGTACACCTCCTATTGGCTGCAGGAGTTTTTTGCAGTCTATATTCAACGGCGAAACGTGACAGTATCATATCTAGACTCCCTGCAACAGCTGCTACTGATATTCCACTTTTATCTGTCACTCCTGCGTGGGACACATCAGCTCCTATTATCATAACAGGCTGAGCCATTATCTTTGGAATTTCTCCTTGCGTTAAAACGTGGTTAATTCCGCCAGTTTTAGCATTGATTTTGAGACACAAATTATGTAAAAGAGAAGGATTGCATTTTCTCGCATTGTTATGGTCGATGCACTGCGTCTGAAGACCGAGTTTGACTTCAGCTATTTGTTTGACATTTCTGTATATCGTTTTATCTTTAAAAGGTATCACAACCACCACCAGCTGGACTTGTTTTTTTCGTGCATCAGTAAGTGTTCTGTGAAGATTGACATATCTAGAACCATCAATGCTTTTAATATCAGAAGGTTGTCCAAGATTCAAACCGGCTGCTCTACCTATTCTTTGCAACTGATCGGAAAAGTTTTTCAAATCATTAAATCTACAATGCCGCTCAGCAAGATTAAGCAAAATCCAAGATCGAATATTGGAGGGTACATAAAACTGTAAATCTCTAATGTTCCACGATCCACCTCTGGGTTGAATTTTTCTATTTCCATAATTTAGGTTTGGAGCTTGCATGGCGCGCCCAGACAAACGTACAGGGTCTCGTTCAACGACAATGTCGAAATTATTTAAATACTCGTCTTCTTCGTAATTGGCCCATTTATCTCTGATGTTAACTATTTTGTGGAACCTGCTAGCGGGATTATCTGCTGTAAATTTAATCATTTCCCGCTTCTCGTCATCGCTCAACTCATTTTTATAGTGCTGCCCTTCAGGAATATAACAAAGCTCAATCGGAAGATATATTCTTTGACTTTTTGGTTTCACTTGTACACAAGGTAAGTGAGGGAAGGCCAAATTTATATTATATTTTTCTCTAAAATATTCGTGAACTGTAACAGTCTTTCTTTCTATGATCGTTCTTGATTCTTGAGTTTCTTCGTCCAAAATGATTGTTCTTGTTTTCTTGAGGAATTGTATCTGCCATGCGTTTTTCTCTGTGATTTTGAAGATACTGTGTTTCAATGTAAGTTTAGATCTCTGATGGTATGTTTCGATTTTTAAATTTTTTAACTTACTCTGTAATAACTGGAGTTGGTCATTTCTCAATGCAGATATGCAAGATAATTCACTTTGCGGAATTCTAAGTAACTTAGCAATGTACTCAACAAGGGGTTGTTTAGTGAAGAACGTTGTTGCACTGGTGTCCAAATTGGTCATAATGTTCCATTGGCCCAAACGAAGACTTTGATGGTAGCCAAACAACGTTACTTTACCAACTAATTGAGGGCCTATCTGATCATCTAATGGAGAGCATATATTTGTACGGAAGAAATTACTGCCAATTGGAGTGTATTTCAAAGCAGGAGAATGTCTGAATATTGTTTCAAGAGCCACCAGCGCCTCCTGGATGCCATTTACATTACTTATATTTCTTCTGAACAGCTCCCGCAAAACTCTTAATTGTATAGTATAGTCGTTTTCTTCCATATCATGAGCATCATTTTCTTCCGGACCATTTTCACTTTCTACGGGTTTAATGTATACTTTGAAAGTACCAATCTTTTTCAGATTTTCATTTTCAACAGTAATTTTATCACTTTCGAACGGAAATTCCAATTGTAAAGGAGATGAAGTATATATCAGGCTCTTACCATCGTAAACAGCATACGAGTTGCGAAAATTATCATTGGTGTCTAACATTCGGTTTATGATTTTACGATTAACTAGAGTATTTTTACAACTAGTTGGTGTTAGGCATGTTTTATCAGGAGTAAAACTTGCTATCTTTACTTCATATCGATATATATTTCTTTCCCGTGGAAGAATAATAGTGAACAAATTAGAAATCAAATTTATCTTTCTTCCTAGTCCACCAGGAGCTTGTTTCGCTGGAAGTCCTGTAGTAATTGCTATCCTGTCAGGACGATAAATTCTGTTGACTAACTGAAGTCTTCGGCTGTATTCAGAAACTACGGAATAAGCTTCATCCGGAGCACTAGGAATTCTAAATCCTGTGGTAATTACCATATTGTCAGAACGATTAATTCTGTCGATTAACTGAAGACTTCGTCTGTAATCAGAAACTTGGGAATAAGCTTCATCTGGAGCACTAAGAATTTTAATTCTTATAATTGGATTTTCTTTCGAGCCAGCCATAGCTCTAATAGAACGCTTTCATTTGTTTATAGTAGTTTCACTTGAGTAGCCTGAATAAAAATAAAAAAAGAATTAAGTGATTTTAAAACTGAAGTTGGAACATTTAAGATGTCTTGTTGTATATTTACCAAGATTCAATTAATCTTCAGGAAAATATTATTGACTTGTTCTTTGTACAGTGCAGCGAAACAACTTTTTAGCTTTTGATTAAACGATCGGATTTCACTCGCTAATCTAAGAGCTTAGTAGTCCTAGTATAAAATTTTAAAATGGGCACTTCGAACTCTTGGTACTTTGAAGTCAGCTGGCTTTGTGAGGCTATGTTAAAGATACACACCTGTCATTTCTTACGCTTTCTGATAGTGGTACAATGTAATAATGGAATTAAAACTGCAAGCTCTACCAGGACCCTAATATCCATTAAATATGAATAAGCAAACATTAATTCAACTTTATAATCCCTTAATGTTTGTAAAGCATGTTAGGGTTTTTATGTATTTATTCATACGTAGTTGTGGTCAAAAGCGTTTTAATCAATTTTATTAAACCTAGCTACAACTATTAAATTATGCATTTTGTTACCACTTTAAATGTGAAGAGATGATATTCCGACAAGGTTGTTCAGCAACAATAAATTTGCGATCTTAGTATAGGAAGTTATAGCATAGCTATATATTTGTACAATTTATATCTAACTCTCAATTTTAATGATTCCAGGACAATATTACAAACGTGCAAATTTGTTCTTAACGATAACCTTTTAAAGTTTTCTGAGTTGCAGTACATTTTTCTTAATTACATTTAATACATCCCGTTTTACTTTAATTAATAGCGGAATAGTTCTTTTCACTTATTAATACCTCTCCACTAAAAATAGTCTATATATAAGAAACACCTACATGGAAAAAAAAGGTAGTATATATTTGTTATTATCAAGTGGATATTGTAACCTACTACTTTAGCTTACAAAAGCACTTAAACTGTATAAAATACCTGGCACCTCAGGCCGCTTGCGGCCCTTTTCCCATTCATCTTGAGCTTGATCTGTGTGGTGCTTCGATGAGGTTTTGAAATACAAATGAAGTAAAGGATTATTCATGTGGATCATTGAGGTTCTGACTGTGTAGGATGATAAGTATGCAGTAGGGTGATAAGACTATATTGTAAAAGTATGAGCTTTAGCTAAGCAGATATGATGAAAATGAGGTTATGTATATGCTAATGATGTCGGGAATATGATACATCACTGCAATAGTATGCTGCTATTGGTCTGATGTTCTTGTCTTCAGTTAAATTTTCTTATATGAATATTTCATTGAAATTTGCTGCAGAGAAAGAGGTGACTTTTTCGTAGAATTTGTTCTTTAATTTAGCTATACGTTTTGTCTAACGCATCTATTTTAACGTAATAGTGTATTGCATCATTTCGTACAAACCATCTAGCTTGCCACCTTTTCTTTATTTTCTGAGGAGAAAAATCAATCTAAAAATTTAAAAAAAAAAATCCATACTAGAAAAAACTTTTTTAATTTTATTTGATGGTAAAATTTAGAATTGCAATACAAAATGCGGTAAAAGTATTGAAACTTAAAATGTTTTGAGATTCCAAGGGGAAAAAAATAGTGTTTTAGCTATATTTATAAACTATTTGCAGAATGCAACAAAATCAATTTAACAAACCATTTACTCTCTGACAGTGCAAAAAAAATTACTTTCGAGTTGTGCTTAAAAATAAAAAAATTTACATTATCAAACGAATGTTTGAAACGTATTATCACTGTCAATTTTGAGAGAAACTAATCCTTAGACATAATTTATGCCAAAAAAGTAACTCCTGGGTGATTAACCCAGCGGTTCCCAATTTTTTTCAGCTATGGAACCCAAAACGATTGAGCTTTTTTTCGGTGAACCTCAATAATACAATAGTAATTGCTTTAAAAATTTGAATTCTTTATTTAATAGTGGTAAATTTTAGCTATCATGAATTGACCGCGAGCAATAGCATCATGCGAAGTGATGCTAAATACATTTTATCTTTATTCCAATGGTATGAATAACAAACACCGAGATTTGCTTACAACAATAACGTAAAGCCACCGAAGATTACAACATATAATATTAAATAAAAAAATTTAAATCATTTTAGCTATATTAATTGAAAAACTTAGTGGAAGAACCAGGTAAATGACATTTTAAGAACGAAAAAAGAAGTTGTATCCGAATTATTTTGTTACCAATTTATTAGAAAGTGAGACTAATAATTCCTTGCTTCATTCTATTTACTACTTCCTAATTTGAAATAAAAATCACTCAAGAATACTAAAAACTAATATGGATTAGTTATGTTAAGATAAAAGTGAAAGCAAAAACAGTTCTGTGACATTAAACATACCCATATTGACATTACTTTCTCCAATTCATTAATTCCCCTAAAAATGTCATTCACCTGGTCCTTACATCAAGCTCTTAAATTGTGTCGGTATATGGCTTTCAGTTTTGAGCATGGTTGAGTTGTGTTTCTCAGTATACTTATTATTTGTTCTTTGATTTTATTGATTCTTTTCTTTTTTTATTCACCCCGAACGAATAACGGGTATTGAGCTAGTTTGTAAATAATAATAAAAACTAACTAAAAAAAAGGTAATGAAGTTTAAGTAGTTGTTAGTTCTTTTAAAAAAATATTTAATGTAAAATATCAGTTTATACTTTCTTCTAATATATTCTGTAAGTAAAACTCTGCTTTCAACTATTACTTATAGTTTGGGGTACAAAAGTTAAATTTAATGTTAAAGTTTAAATTAGTGAGAAAAAAAAATAAATCAATTGAATAAGAAACATAATATGCAAATATCATATTTAAATAAAATTTTTAGTAAAAGTTTAAATTCTAAGCTTTTTTTCTCACAAAAGTTAAAGGTCAAATTAGTCAAAAAAATTAATAGAATAAGAAACATAATATGCAAATATCATATTTAAATGAAATTTTTAGTAAAAGTTTAAATTCTAAGCTTTTCTTCTCACAAAAGTTAAATTAAGTTAAAGGTCAAATTAGTCAAAACAATTAATAGAATAAGAATATGCAAATATCATATTTAAATAAAATTTAACGAATTATGCACTTGAACAATACTTGAAAAAATATAATGAAATAAAATTTATGGATCCAAACTGAAATTTAATTTCAGATGCTTAAAAAGGTTATTTAAACTAAACTAAACTCTTTTTAATTATTGATCTACTTAAAAAAAAAGCTATTTCAGAGACTGTATAAAATAAAACACGTAACATACTCACAACAAAATAAGACGGCATAGAGCACAGTTTCAATTTCAATGCAGATAGTAACGCTGAAGACTGAAATGTTGCTACAAAAACGAAATGATTTCAGTTCGTATTTTCGTTTTGAAAAAGGGAAATTCCCCAATAAAGCGATAAAAATATTGCCGTTATCTCTAGGTAGATAAAAAGTAATAATCGATTGATTCATACAGTAAAGATTTCAAACATTCCTTGGAAAAAGAAAGTAACGTTAAAAGTTTCAGAGGAATATAAATATTTTAATGTAATTGTAATTACCAATACAAACTCAAAATTAATTTATCTAGCTTAGTTCAAATTTTCTCCTCTCATTAACTCAGTGAAATTAAGAATTTTTCTCCGGAAAAAGTAATATTCAATTGTATTTTTTTTCTCATAAAAGGCATTTTTTTGTCCCTTGTTGTGCAATTTATCTAACTTAGCTCAAATTTCCAATACTTTTCTTCTCTCAATACTCCAGTAAAATTAGACTTTTTCTCCGGAAAAATTTAATATCCAATTTTTGATTTCATAAAAAGCTTCATGTCCTTATAAAGGATACCTAAAAACTCCCCTATTCTTCTCTGCTTTAGATAGCAATGTTATATGAATAAATACGTACAAGTACAAAAATGTACTTTTTGTTCATAAAACCCTTATTAATTCTAAACTATTTGTCCGATATTTTCGAGATTAATTTATTAGCTCCGTTTAAATCTGCGTGAAAAAATATATTAGATATAATACCCCTCTCCCTTCAAAAAATTCCCCTTTTGTCCCTCAAAAAAGTGGAAAGCGAAGAGTTTTTAAGTTTCATTTAAAATGATAGATATAACAAAGTTTCCGGTCAAAAAATATATTGGTATTTTAAATATTTATAATTTTAGCCATAATTACAGGACTGCTATTCCCATACAGTGTTGACTAGAATCAGGCAATATATTATCATTATATATTGATATTTTTTAATACTGCGAGAACAATATTTTAAAAAGTATTCTCACCTTATCTCGTGAATAACATGCCTGAAGAAAAATTTCGAAGATATACGTCTGGAGATGAGTTAGTTGAAGACCTGAATAAGCTAAAAAACATTTCAGTACTTTTTGTGCTATGGTACTCCATTTCTTGAATTAGTTTTTTTTAAAGGTTTATAACAACCGTTATCCACTTTTCATCGATGTTTTATTCGATCGTTATCCACTTTTCATCGATGTTTTTTAAAAAGGTTTATTACAATCGTTATCCACTTTTCATCGATGTTTTTCTAAAAGGTTTATTAAAACTGTTATCCACTTTTTATCGATGTGGCAGCAATAATAACGTAGTAATTATCTGCAACGGCGACATTTAAGAAACGGATTTTCATTTTTTCTCCATCCAGATTCTGTACAAATGCATTTGTGAAACCGAGACCTGACTCGAACGAGTGAAGTTAGTGAGTTACTAGTAACTTCACAATTTATTGCGGTGAAGTTACTTGTAACTTCACAGAAAGAAAAAGAGATCGGATTCAGTTATCAGATGTGGAAATCAAAGTTACCAGTCAGTAATTTGGTCTTTTTTTCTTCTTTTTACTAGTTAAAGAACTCATCAAACTACACCAAAATTTTATGTTAAATAGTATCAGCTCTTTAATTAAAAAAATATAGCTTTATTTTAGCACCCTAGAAAGTTCTGGATTATAGTAGCTACAATTTTTGAAAGTTAACAACATTCGGTTATTTAACATTTTTTTGAAGTTATACTTCTTATGCGACTTCCAACAAGGTTGCGTTAAACGTTTAACGCTACATTTTTATTGGCCGGGAAATCACGTGGCAGGATCCAGTTTTCCCTCATTCATTTCCATATTGTTCTGGTTCTCACTAGCATAAAAATAATAAAAGTCACAAAAGTATTGTTTTTCTATAAATATTTTTTTTTGTTTGTTTTGATACACATATAATTTAATAGGGTAGTATTTTTTATTTTCAAATTTAGTGGATAACAATTGTAAAAATGGAGTGAAAACAATCCCACGGACAATGCGACGGATTTAAGGTTAAATCAAGGTACGTCTCTTGTGAATATCAATTGATTGTTAGGTTTTCTCTTCTCAAATTACATTATGACGCATTCACATACATTATTAATAAAAATACATTTTCCAGGGCGAGACGATGAGGCAACCACAAGCACTTCCACTGGTTCGAGGTCCACGAGGGAAAAGTGCACAATATTACCGTGATTACAGAGCACGGAAGCGAGTGGAGCAGGAAAAAGAGTCGTTGAATAGAACTAGTGATCCTTCTACGACTGCTGATTCTTCTGCAATTAACATCGCAGGTTGCTAAGTTTAACTTCTTCCGCGAGGAGGGACTTCACGCACTATTTTTTTAAATAATAATTTTGTGGAAAAAAAACTAGTTCTTTAAAAATTATCATAGCTACTTCTATATAATAGAATTTTAATAGTTTGAAATTCATTTCTAAACCAAGAGAAAGTACATACCGATAATTTTTACATATCAGATAAAAATCCTTGTTGTTGACTCCATGAAAAATCTACCAAGAATATATTTGTTTCGTTTGATTTCGTTAAACACTGGCTTTCAGCAAAGCACAGATTGCAACTTATATGCCACATATAATCTATGCTACATTCACAACTTCTAATAGACACCCTCTTATTACACAAGAAAACAGAGGCGTAATAAAAATGAATTCATTCAATAATAATCACAAATCCTTTTATTAGTTCCCACTGAATTGGCAGTCAATAAACTGATCAGTTACAAAAAATTTAGAGCATCACACATTCAAAGATACAATAAATATTTTTCTGCATTCACAGCATAGCAAACACTTATGAAACTTTAAATAGTTATTTAGGTATCATTCTTAAATAAATTCACAACCATTACGAAAATAAATCTTAAGTAAGATTTAAAATATTATTTACACACTGATTTAAATTTCTAAAACAAGGCATTAAAACTTGTAAAATGCCATAAGTAATCAGTAAATATATCACTGCTTTAAAAGATCTAGTACAGAAAAATACTTATGTTCAATCAGTTTTAGAAGCTCGGAATATAAATAGCACTTAAATTACTAGCATTTACTTGTATCGCTATATAAAAAGTGCTAAATTTAAATAATTGAAAAGATACTTCTTGCAATGCATGCGTATCGATCTCAATTTGTATTAAAAAAAATGAATGAAAGTTCATTGGCGATTTTTAAAAATATCTTAAACAAGCTTTCACCGTCAAAAAGTTCCAGTTTCTTTAATTAGTAACACTTCATGCATTTAAAAAATTAAAACTTTTAAATATAATTATTCTAAATATAACAATAAAAAAAACATATAAATAATATCTTAAAATGTAAGTCTTATGCATAACAATTAAAGTTTATGTAATATACAAATTACCTAGTGTTCAATCAATTCTGGAAGTTCAACTGTATTCAAAATATTGAACATTGTAACTAATACTAATTTCACAGTAAGAAAGTCACTAAATAAAAATAATTAAAAGGAAGCCTTAAATAATGCAGGAGTTATAAGGAATACAAAGTAAGTCATTTAAAATATATTTTTAGTCCAAATGTTTAAAATTAGTATTGGTAATACTTTAACTGGTGCATTTAAAAAAAAACTTACCAAAACTAGTAAAACAATTCCTTGATACAAACGAAAATTTATCAAAACTACCGAAGATTTCATTCTAGGTATTGTTACTAGAGATCAAACAAAATACATTGAATGTCCGACCGATTTTGGAAATTCAACAGCGCTGTAATTCATTTAAAATATATTTATAGTCCAAATGCTTAAAATTAGTATTGGTAATACTTTAACTAGGGCATTTTAAAAAAACTTAACTATTAAACCAATTCCTTGTAATAAACGAAAAATTTATCAAAACTACTGAAGATTTCATTCTAGGTATTGTTACTAGAGATCAAACAAAATACATTGAATATTCGACCGATTTTGGAAGTTCAACAATGCTGTAATTCATTTAAAATATATTTATAGTCCAAATGTTTCAAATTAGTATTGGTAATACTTTGACTGGTGCATTTAAAAAAACTTACCAAAACAATTAAAACAATTCCTTGAAAAAAGCGAAAATTTATCAAAACTACTGAAGATTTCATTCTAGGTATTGTTACTAGAGATCAAACATAATACATTGAATGTTCGACCGATTTTGGAAGTTCAACAGCGCTGTATTTCATTTAAAATATATTCATAGTCCAAATAGTTAAAAAGAGTATTGGTAATACTTTAACCAGTGCATTTAAAAAACATACTAAAACTATTAAAACAATTCCTTGATATAAACGAAAATTTATCAAAACTACTGAAGATTTCATTCTAGGTATTGTTACTAGAGATCAAACAAAATACATCGAATGTTCGACCGGTTTTGAGAGTTCAACAGCACTGAGAGCTTCCCTTAGTATATTCGGACTATCCATCTGTTTCTGTTTAGCATCGTCTGAGAGTGTTGCCAATCGTAGTCTTGTACGATAAGCAGCTAAATCGGCGTAGGCAACAGGCACAGGAATCGATATGCTTTTAGAACATCGGAATGATATGTTACAGGAATAATATGTAAGCTTCTGAAAATCTTCTGCTGAAAAATCACTGTCATCTGCCAGAACGGTATAATGAGCTGGTCTGCTTGTTCCTAAAAATTACAGCAATTAGAAACTATTAATAACGAATTAAAAATGTGTTAATCTCATATGAAAAAAAAAATTAAAAGCTCAAACACGTGATAGAAGATTTGAAAAACCTAAGAGAATGGTATAAAAAATGAAGGAAGATAGCCTGGTGTTCCAAAAATTGAGACGATTTGAAACGGAAATAGAAGACAGAAATATACGATTGGCTGCGCTTACGCTTAGAAAACGATACTTTTTATTAGGGATGCAACGGATATTCGGCAGCTATTTTGTATTCAGCTCGATTGCCAAATGTTAGGAAAAGTACTTTTTGATAGATTTTTTTCCTTCTTTTTTTGGGGGGGAGGGGGATTAGAATTGATTTAATAAAACATTATCTATTGTTATTGTTGTTAATTTACGTCGCACTAGAGCTGCGCAATGGGCTATTGGCGACGGTCTGGGAAACATCCCGGAGGA